TATATATATTATGAATTATATCATCTATCGATAATTAAAAAGTTTATTCTTTTAATAATCGTGTTATTGACAAGAAATATTGCTATAATATAATAGAATTTAAGTGAAAGGATAAAGATGGCAGATAGAATCGAATCGAAACATTTCTTCTGTAAACCAAGTAACTTTAGATTATTAAACAAGTAATTGATTACAAATAAAAAATCACATTTATCGTATTTTGACATCTAAGTAATTAATATCTAAAAAATAGCTTCACTATATTTATTATTAATCCTTTAGTTTAAACTTAGGATTTTAATAAGATGTGATGTTAAATATTTTTGCTCGAATAAATTTTGAAAACTGATTATGAAGTTATGATAATAATTTCATCCTATTCATATTCTATAATTCAAAATTAGTATTTATATCATAATTATAAAATAAATTTAATGTGTTGAATCTGAAAAATGTTCAGATTACCTCTTAGCATTTAGATTAAATTTTCCCTAAGTGCATGTAGCAGATGAGAGTGAGTGCAAGGTTGTAAAATAATTAGCTAGAACTCAATCATTTATTCCAAAAAGAGGCAAAATCGAAGAAAACTTTAGTAGTTCTCTAGACTTGAAAGAGTTTTATCATTAAATTGAAAATGACTCAATTCTTATATCATTATTTTTGGTTTAATAGATAATTTTTGAGCAAAAATGTCAAAGGTAGTTAAATGACATTAATTTATTTCTTGAACAATTTTATCATGATGTTTGAGACAGATAGGAATATATGAAGCCGAAATTTAGATGTTTTTGGCATCAAAGAAAGTAACTTGACTGTGAAGAAAATATTCTTGTGTACCCTTAGATAAGTTTATGTTAATATAAGATCAACATCAAATCTATGATCATTTAATCTAGTTCAATCTAAGGACTAACACCTTTAACAAAGAGAGATGTGCAATTATAGAAAATATCGAAACTATTACAGCGAGAGCAATTAGTTAGAAAATACTTCAGCTAAAAATGTAAATTAAAAAAGGAGGACTTAGCTCTCAAAATGTTTAATAACTTACTAGAAATTATTTTTCTGATGACCAATATTAAATCTAGAAATAAGTCCTAATAAACAAAAATTTAAGAGAAAAAGAAGAGTGATGGTTGAATCGTAATAGTTATTTGCCATGTCGTTATTAAAAATGCAAAATCTATGGATTTTGAAAAATTAATGCAGATATAATTTGCTGATAATTCTATAAAGTGGTCTTCATAATTTATTATGATAGTAGAATCTATAGAAGGAATATTTAAAATTTAGGATAAATAAAAAAACAAATTATATTTATTTAATCTTGAAATATTTTTAATGTCATTAAATGTTGATATTCTGAATAATCTCAATTGCCTTTATATTTGAATAACTAAATATGTTCCTAATTAATATTGAGTTTGAGAAATTAAACCAATCTAACTCTTAGGAAAAACATGACTAAACTGGAAAGGGCAAGAAGAGAAAAAGCAAAGCTCATTAATATTAAACAACTTGGGTAGGTGTAAGGTTTATGCCTTATCACCCTACATTAATTCTACTAATTAAATGAGAAAGAAGGAGTATGATTTAGACTCGTTCAGATCATTTAAATGATTGTATTAAATTTGTCGTAATTAATGAAAAGATCTATTAATTCTTATAAATTTACAAATATTAAAAAACATAAATCAAAGAAATCATCAATTAAATGCAGAATTGTTAGAAGATAGGTAAAAATAAATAGAACAATTAGAAATTACGAAGCAATAACTTCTAAACAACGAGTATTTAAATTTTAAGTCTCAAGTAAATTTAATCAAATAGTTTTTCTCAAAGGAAAAGGCATAAATGATAGAATTCAATTAAATTGTTGATACAATCAAAATTATTGTTCAAGTTTAAACAAAGATCAATAATCAAGTAATTGACTTCCATAGAAATAATAGGCAATTAAGATATTAAGTAAAAATCTGATGAACAATAGAATGAAATAAGAGAAAAGCAAGAATATTATTTAATTAGGGTAAAATCATGTGAAGAATAGAATAGGCATAGAACTAGTTTCCGAATTACAAATACGTAAAAATAATCATATATATTTAGAGACTTTGGTAATATATGATAAATCGATCAAATTATTTGATTTATAATTTTAATTAAGATTCTGCATTAACTATTAATGATTTGTTAATTAGTGATTAAGAAATTAAAAAAGTATTAAGAAACTATTTTGTATTGCGACCAAGCTCTTTCTAGAAATCCTAAAAACGATACTATTTTACTATAATGGTAAAATCTATTTAAAATTGGTTATGCACTAAATCATATAGTTTATTACGTTAGTTAAAACAAAATTCAGAAGCAATCACGTGGTTTAAAAAAAACACTTTCTATTTCTACTGACAGTTTTAGATTAAAACTGTTAGGTATTAATTTATTATTAGTATATGCTGAATCACTTGATTTGAATTAATCACAATCTTTGAGTTATTTAACTTAGGATTTAAAGATGAAGCTAAAGAATCATATTTGGTAGCATTGCAAGAAGGATCGACAGAAAAGGAATATATAAAAATATACTTATTAAAGTTATGAATGACCATTAATATTTTATTTCATATTCTTTGTTCTATATCTTTTTTGATGTGCTTCCAGTCTCAGTTTTTACAAAAACCAATTTATATAGATAAGTTTAATTATTATAAATTAATTAATAATCATTTCTAGAATTGATACAAACAAAAATATAACTAAATTATTTAATTAATTAAGTCATATTTCTACATATATCCTTTAACATACGATTAATTAGTAGGCAATTATTGGAGTGTCCACCTCACATTGCTGCCATTTAATATTTCTGATTTGACAAATAACTGGATCTATTTTTATCCTTAATTTAGAGAGAAAAAATTAGTGATTATTATAATTATATTAGAAGAAAGAAAACTCGTCAAGCAATTCATATATAGCTAGAGGATCTATTGTCTCTTAATTAAACTCTGCTAGTAATACCTATTACATATTTCTGAATGAGTTTACAATTTGCAAGAAAGATTTGAAATACACAAAAGACTTCTCAATTTTTCTGGCTTTGAAATGTAGTATAGAAGTCCCGAAAATTTGAGCAAATTTCTTTATAAATTTTTTTCATCTATCTTAATTTTTATCCTATAGATATATTTTAGATCCTAAGCAGTAAAGCCTAAATTTGCTGATCAACCAATAAAGTTGCGACTGATTCTTAAAACAAAAATACTTGTAATAGTTAATTTTGTTTGCCTTCTTACAAAAGATGTAATATATTTATCTTATGAACGACTTAATAAATAAATTTCTTGTATTTTCAAAGTTAAGAATGATCAAATTAAAATTGAAAATCAATCATAAGCTTTTTTAACTTAATAATGAACCACAAAAAACCAGTTAAAAATATTGGGTACAATAGTGAATGCAAATAATAATCAACTCTATGGCCTAAAACCATTGAACTTTAAAACAATCAGGGCTGCTCAATTGAATGTACTGATCTTGAAATTTCGTTCGTTTGGATCTAAGTATCTGGTGTTCTTTAAATCATAATAATTGAAATCTTGATGAAAATCTAATTATTAGAGGAGACAATAACTAGCATAGATCTAGGATGACATTATTTTCATTCATTTAAATCAGAATGATATTTGGAAAACAATCTCGAATTTTCTCAACCTCTTCTTCCATCATTCTAGTTATATTTTATTATTGGTCTTGTATAATCTTTGGATGAAAACAATAAAATTGGGAAAATAGAATTATAGTTTTTGATAATATTAGTTATTAATTTGCTTTATTCAATTAAATTATTAATGAGTAGAAAGTGAGATGTTGAATACAATATCAGCAGTGACTTATTATTAATAAGTAGTTTAATCTATTACTTTAATGTTATTTGCAAAAACTTTCTATAGACAACAAGATAAATTAATTTTTAATTTCAAAGATCAAGGTAAAAAAAATAAATCAACTTTTTTGAAAACGTATATAAAATATATGGGCATGGAATTTAGTAAATCATTTTATTATGATATTCAAAGGAAAGGTGAATGATAAAAGTACTTACATTAATCGTATTTTTACCAAAGACCTAAAAGGAACATTAAATCCATAAAGAATTAACTTTCAAAAATAGTAGGCATACATTTGGATTTGGTTATGATCATGATGCAGCTATGATGACATCTATTTATAACCTAAAAAATGGAAGTTTTTAATTTTGCGTAGAATATTACTTTATTGGATGAACTCTTCGTGGATGCTTTAGGAAGCTTAAAATTGGTTGGCTGAAAAATTATAGTTCACAGTAAACTTAAGCTCCCTGAAATCAAAAATGGTTTCAATATTTCTAATACTCATGGAAATATGTAGATTAAAAAGGGAATTATTATGAAATTTTACTTCCAATGTTAATTTAAGGATCGAGAAAGACTTTGTATTTGAATTAGAATTACCTAACTTAATTGCACAAAACATAAGTAATGAAAGAAATGCTTTGATTATGAAAGCTCAGCTTTAAAATACTGATCCATTGTCGAAAAAAAACTTTAAAAAATCTGCAACTCTGATTTTAACATTCTTCAATGAAGATGAATATATTTACTAAAATGAAGAAGACATAGAAGTATTTGAATAATACAATAGAGTGACAGTAGCTTAAATAATCGATAATGCAAGAGAATCATGCGAAAATTAGTAACTTGATGTACCTTAAAATTAAATAGACTATGCTAATGTATTATTAATAATATTTTCAGTCGCTTTTGTACTGCTTTACTTTACTTTTATTTTACTAATACGATTACAAACTAATTAACGAATGGCTTCATAGGCTCCTTCCCTTATTTAAGATTATATTAAGCAAAACAAGCATCTTAGAGAGGAATCTTTACTTCATATGGTTAAGGATAAATGATGCAATTAAGTTGCAATAGTTACAAACAACAAGGAGTAAACTAAATATTCCCATTGGATGGAATACTGTAATAATAAAGCGCAAAATTTTAAACTTTCTCTAACTAGTTATAACAGGATATGGTCTAATAACTTTAATTCAGAAAAACTCAAAACTGAAATGGAAACTGAAAGCCTACTGTTGTCACTTTATCATAATACATTTTTATATATTATAAATTCATCATATCAGGATTAATTCAAATTTTACGTTGAGTTGTTCTCATCTATAACAATTGTTTATCAATGCTTTATGAAGATGGATGTAAGTTCTATACATACCTAATTCTAGATATTTATAATATTTTTAACTTGATTTTCTATAAAAATTTCATTTAAACGAAATTAGAATATTGTTTTTTCGAACCATTAGTGAATTCAAAATTAAGAATACATTAGTATCATAAATTAAATCATTTATCAGCAAATAGTACTATATAAGTAAAAATTGATAAATGAAAACTTAATATGTAATTCCCTATTTTGATTTTATTCTGTTAAATAGGAATAATTATACAATATTATTAGCTCTGCTGCCATCAATTATCAGATATTAATTAAGAGTGCCTTAAAAGTAATGGTTATTCAAAAAAACATTTCGAATAGATGATTGGGTAAATATTTCCCAGATTAAAAAATCTAAAGAAGCCANATTAGTGAATTCAAAATTAAGAATACATTAGTATCATAAATTAAATCATTTATCAGCAAATAGTACTATATAAGTAAAAATTGATAAATGAAAACTTAATATGTAATTCCCTATTTTGATTTTATTCTGTTAAATAGGAATAATTATACAATATTATTAGCTCTGCTGCCATCAATTATCAAATATTAATTAAGAGTGACTTAAAAGTAATGGTTATTCAAAAAAAACATTTCGAATAGATGATTGGGTAAATATTTTCCCAGATTAAAAAATCTAAAGAAGCCGAAATAATTGTTTTGAGAGCGAAGAGCGATGTTTGATAAGTTGCATCGATTTAGAATTTCTATGAAAAAAGGGAAATAGTATTTTAACTTTAAGACAAAGAAATGATGAAATTTATAATGTTGTTGTTATTTATAATAAATTATATTAAATTCGTATTGAAAAGGAGGGAATTCGATCTGATATTAATAGAATATTTAATTTAAAAGTTAATGGATAATATATATAAACTTGAAATTTGAATTTAAATGCCTACAGGTTATAAAGGATTCTTAATCTTTAATTGATATATTCATTAAGTTAAATTGGGTCACAAATATCGATGGTTGTTTTATTGAAGATATCTACATCGCCATTTGATAGAAAAGGTTAAGTTTCTATTCGAGACTTTTTTGAAAAATAAATTCTTCTTATCCTGCATTTATTATTGGCGTGTTGGATAGAAATTACCTAATATATAAGGTTTTAGTATTTAATTTGTATTAAAGGCATTTAACTCTCACATCTATCTAGAATATACTATTATAAGTTTGCTCAATATTATTGAGAAGTCATCTCAAGACGTAGCAGAACAATTCTTTTGTTTTAAGAATTTTCAGATAAAAACCTTGAATTTAAGCTCAAAGAAAATATTATTTTAAAATTTAATTCCACACATTTCGTGAGAATAATATATATTATTTATTGATTTTGCAAAACTTACTAAATCTAAGTTGTTATTAATTTTGTATTTCAAGCTAAACAATGTAACTTAGCACTAAAAAACTATAAGAGTAAACCCTAATTTTCAATAAAATTCCACTTAAGTGTGTAAAATCATTTACATTTCAATCAGTAACATTTAGCATACATATAATTTAATTATTAATATATTATTTGAATTTATAAATGTTTAACAATTACAATGATGCAATCATATGCTCGAATAATGCCTTGTCTATAAATTCAAAGTATTCCAATTCTTTATCCAGAAAAATTAATTGTATTTTATATAAAATAAGAGAATCATAATTTTTTGATAGGATTTAAGATCAAACATTGAATTAAAGTCTAAATCATAAGTTTTATTATTAAGTATCATGTTTAAGTTAAAATAATTTTGTAATTCTTTTTGCAATTATTATAGCCATGACTATTTACAATTAGCATTAGTAATCAATCCAAAAAGTAAAGTGCTAAATGTAAGAAATACTTTGAATCATTTTTTATAAATGAGAATATATTTTCCGTTTAAAGCTCATAAAACCAAGGCATTTATCCTCAGAAGATAAAAGATAATTTAACTCTTGCCTTTATTTCATTCCTATTTAATGACTTTTTTTAGCATAGCTCCAATCTTTCTTTTATTACAAAGGATTAAATTTTAGACAATTCTTTCCATTTTTTAAAAAAGCGTTTCAATTTCTTATGATTACTTACATAAATGTATATTTGAAAAATAAGAAAGTATTTAAATAATAATTTAAAATCACCCTGTAATAAGAAATTGATTTTTGATTAACTAGGATGAGAATCAAGATTCTTCAAACAATATTCATGATAGGCTTTTTTTATTATTCTTAGATTAGACATAGTAAAACATGATCAGTTCTACTTTCTATCATTTTGTTCAATTTTTTTCTCTAAAATGTAATTAAGTGCTGTGGAAGAACTGGTATTAGAAAATTAAAAGGGGTTTAGCTTATATTAAAATCACCGCAATTAATAATTTACTGGTTAGGCTTAATATTTAGAATGAATTATCTCAACCAATTACCTAGCTAAATCTTTGATTTCTAGAATGTAGACTTTTTGTTAAAGTAGAAATTAAACAGAAAAATATCAAAGTATTCGTTTCTAGCATTAATTATAAGATAGTCAAATTCCACTTATATTTGAATTTAAAGAATATCACTAATATCTTTAGATGCAAAACTATTGTGAATACCCGTGATTATACCACCAGATCTCTCTCTGGTTGAATGATGGTTTATATAAATCTAGATGATGAAATCTTAGAATTACGGCTTTCTTATAGACAGAAAAAATGAGGGCCAAATAATTTAACTTATTTTAGCGTGCTTGCTTTCATAGAGGAAATATTCCAAGAGACTAATTTGATTGGGTTTTTTTTTTATTGTTAAAATTGAGACACTAAATATGATTATTGCCAGGATCTTAAGACAGCGTCTAATTCTTAGTTCTGGTGGAGCCGTGTAAGGACTACACTCATTCAATCATTTAGCCATCTAATGTGTGGGAACTTTCTTTAGGCACTTTATTCTTATGAAACTTTTTCATATGTTATGTGTAATCTTAAGTGTTTTTGAAGATACTCTTGCATTAATGGAGTTTTCCATCACAAACAAATATCTAATCATCTTCCTCCTCCTCTTCTTCAGATAACTAATTAAATGGTTATTATTAAGATTATGTCATCTTACAAGGTGTTTTAAATTGAACCTATTTGATAGGGTCTTGAATTTAAGGAACAGTAAATTTTAAAGCAGAAATTTGTTTTTTAATGGAAGATTACAAATCTTTTATAATTTTTTGTTCAATTGATTATATGATGCGATCTTATTAAATGGGTTAATTAGAAAATATTGTTTTAGTTCGAAAGCAAGATGATTGGAAGGAATTAAAAATTCAAAGAAGAGCTAATACCATTAAATTAGAAAGTACATAGATATATAAAAATGTTACAGTCTAAGGAAACATATAGAATGCTTGCCATTACTGAGAACATACTAAAGGATAAAAAGCTATCGAAAACAATTAAATAATTATTAATGTGAAATAATTAAATCAGATATTTGCTATATTAATGAAATATGAGATATTCATTTTGTATTCTTTAATTCCATAATTAAACGCTTAAATTCATTTTCATCTGATTTGCAATATTTGATAGCCTGCTGATAATTCTCCATAGCTGAAGAGTATTTCTTGATATGTTGTAATAAATCACCTAATACAATTAAGGTATTACAAACCTTTATATTTATAGGCTTTTGATTAATTCGGATCTATTTAGATTGCTTTATCATAGCAAATAATTGCATCATCATATTTCTTAAGATTACCTAAGGCAACTCCTAAAACAATAAAGAATTTACAAACCTTTATTGATATAGGCCATTGCATAATTCGGATCTATTTAGATTGCTTTATCATAGCAAATAATCGCATCATTGTATTTATTAAGATTTTCTAAAGTCTCTCCTAAAACAATAAAGAATTTACAAACCTTTATTGATATAGGCCATTGCATAATTCGGATCTATTTAGATTGCTTTATCATAGCAAATAATCGCATCATTGTATTTATTAAGATTTTCTAAAGTATCTCCTAATACAATCAAAAAATTAAAAACCTTTCTTGATATAGGCCATTGCATAATTCGGATCTATTTAGATTGCTTTATCATAGCAAATAATTGCATCATCATATTTCTCAAGATTTTCTAAAGTCTCTCCTAATACAATCAAGAATTTACAAACCTTTATTGATATAGGCTATTGCATAATTAGGATCTATTTAGATTGCTTTATCATAGCAAATAATTGCATCATCATATTTCTTAAGATTGTCTAAGGCAACTCCTAAAATAATACCTAAATAAATACCTTTTGAAGCATAACCAATACTGTACTATGGATTATATTTTAGAGCTACATCCACACATAAAATTGCTTATGAGTATTGAGCCAAATCATATAAAGAATAGCCTCTTTTTCTATATAAACAATTACTTTTTCTATACAAAGCGTGAAGATGTTAGGGTTCTTCTCTCAGGACATTTTCGCATAACTCAATTGCCTCTTGAAATTTCTTTTCTTCATTTAAAGCATAGCCTACAAAAATTAAACATTTTTTAAACTTTTTGCTATTAACATAAAAGAACTTTATGGTGTTTTAATTAATTCTTGATCTGAATAATCCAATAGATCTCTATACAGGTTATTATTCATCTTTTTGGCCTATTCTCTCATAATAATTCCTTATCCTGGTTAATTCATTTCAATTAAACAAATACCTAATTATTTAAAATATTTATCTAATTACTTTTCACCAATTTTGCCAATGATTATTGTTTCTCTGATTATTTTATGTATAAGGTAATATTTTCATTAGCCTCATGCCATTTCTATTAATTAAGTAATTGTACTCCTAATTTAATTATGAAAGACTCAAATACCTTACTAGAGTGCATTTTCATTATCTTATTTTATATCTTAAATTTATTATTATCCTTTTTCTATATCCAATGCTTTAATCATTCTTTTTATTCTAACTAATTAAGTTCCTATAAATATTACTTAAAAGAAAATACCAATTTAATTCTATTTCATAATCTACTCTTAATTGTTTAAATATTAATACCATTCCTTAATCACTTACAAATTGTCTTTCATATATTAATAATCTTATTGACTTAAACATTCAGATATCTTAACTAGTTTTAGTTTCATATTCTCTAATTATTTTGAGAATTCTTCATATTTTACTTTGACTTATGTGAATGACTTATTCAATTAGGTTGCTAAATCAAGTATATTCTAATTGAATTTCGGGATAAAAGTTTAAATCTAACAAAATCCTTTTAGATCTTTCTTGCAATTAGAATGCTTCTTAGGGTCAAATCCACATTATAGACAGAATTAAGGTCTTGAATCTTAGCATTCCAAATTTAAACAGAATCCTTAAATAGTTTCTCCTTCGTGCGCAATATCTTAACACTTAAATAATTTCATTAAATAAATATTAACAAATTTTGAAATTTGATATTATCTTATATCTAAAAACTTTTAGTTTTCTATTTATTTAATTTTAATTTCCGATTTTAATGATGATATTGATATTATTTTAAT